CTATCCAGATGCCCGTACAATGTCCAGCTGGTGATGCCTAGCTGGCGATACACAATGAGTGAGTTTAGAATTACGTCTCTTTTAGCAATATTCCGGCAATATCACGGCGGGGGGACACCAGAAATGGGCTTCACACATTACACCCATGTGGGGAATCGAACCCGGGTTTTCGTCGTGACGAGCGAACGCTTTAACCACTAGGCCACCGCCCAAGGAAGACCACGAGTACAGGTATGGAGCTGACAAACCAAGAAAATATAATCGGTCAGAGTTCGAACCCGCTATCATAGTTTTGTGGTGTGGCCAAGGGACGCAACTCTGTAATGAATTGTATACTTTCTTTTGTACGTCAATTAATATATTGCTTTTAAAGCGGCATCAAACCAAAATATTCAGGATAATACATGTAATTGTAATATAATACAATATGTGTGAATCCCATTTCTGGTGTCCCCGACCGCCTCCGTGGTGTAGTGGTTAGAGCGTCCGCCCGGAGAGCGGAAGGTCGCGGGTTCGATCCCCGACCGCGTCATACCAAAAGACGTTAAAATATGGTACTTGTTGGTCCCTGCCTGGCGCTCGGCATTAATGGGTACAACAAGGACTGGTCGGCTCGGAGTCAGTATAATGTGTCTGAGTGGGGTATTCATGCTTCACTGCGGCATGGTATCTCAGTGGGCTAGCACTATAAAACCAGCTTAAGTCTGGGCTAGTACAAGCACCCGCACATACACATACACACGCATGCACGTCGTCATATGAGCGAAATATTCTCAAGTACGACGTTAAACCCAATTTCACATCACATCACTTCTGGTGTCCCCCGCCGTGATATTGTTGGAATATTGCTAAATACGGCGTAAAACCCAACTCATGCACACATAATACAATATCTGGTTTTGCAGCTAACCTTATATATTTACTTATGTCAATTTCTAATTGTGATGATATTTAAAATCAACGATTCTTGACTCACCTTCATATAGTCCCCTGGATGCACCAAAGACGCTCAGCAACAGAAGCAGCTGCATCTTTGTCTGCGCGGCACAAAACAACACAGCGACAGTTAAATGATACACTCACTGCATCAGATGCGGGTTGATTCTATTTCGACTTTCTGGGGCGGAGGGGTAGCCTAGTAGCTAAAGCGTTCGCTCGTCACGCCGAAGAGTCGGGTTCGATACCGCACATGGGAATAAGACGTGAAGCGCATTTCTGCTGCCCACCAGTGATATTGCTGGAATATTGCTACAAGAGGCGTGAAATAATATCACTCACTGATCATACAGTCGATAGCTAACATGGAAGATCCAGGACCAAGGCTCCCTGTAAGACACCTTATGTGTCTTTGTTGTTAAAAGGTGGTACGGTAGCCTAGTGGTTAAAGCGGTCGCTCGTCACCCGGGTTCGATTCCCCTCATTGGTACAATGTGTGAAGCCCATTTTTGGTATCCTCCGCCGTAATATTGCTGGAACATTGCTAAAAGCGGCGTAAAACTAAACTCACTCACATATTGTTGTTTAACGCCACATTCAGCAATATTACAGCTCTCCAACTGTGGTCTGTCAGCAAGTGAATGTGGTCTGTCAACAAGTGAATGTGGTCTAGACAAACTGATCGATATGATGACCAATCATCCCAGTCCACGGGATGCAATGATACCTAATCAATGAGTCATGAGCCTGACCGGACCGCCTCCGGGGTGTAGTGGTTAGAGCGTACGTCCGGAGTGCGGAAGGTCGCGGGTTCGATCCCCGACCGCGTCATATCAAAAGACGTTAAAATATGGTACTTGTTGGTCCCTGCCTGGCGCTCGGCATTAATGGGTACAACAAGGACTGGTCGGCTCGGAGTCAGTATAATGTGTCTGAGTGGGGTATTCATGCTTCACTGCGGCATGGTATCTCAGTGGGCTAGCACTATAAAACCAGCTTCAGTCTGGGCTAGTACAAGCAGCCGCACATACAAATATACACGATAAACCATGCACCGTCGTCATATGAGCGAAATATTCAACCAAGCACGACGTAAAACCCAATTCCACCTCACCTCATCTCACCAAGTCAAGAGCATGGTATCTCAGTGGGCTAGCACTATAAAACCAGCTTCAGTCTGGGCTAGTACAAGCAGCCGCACATACACATACACACGCATGCAGGTCGTCATATGAGCGAAATATTCTCAAGCACGACGTTAAACCCAATTCCACCACCACCACCATGAGCCTGACCAGCCGATTCACTTGGACACATCTTACGACCGGGATAGTAAGTGACCTGCAATATTTTGTCGGTTTTCCGGTTTTCCGCCAAATAGCTGGTATATTGCTGAGTGCGGCTTAAAAAACTAAAACTAAAAGACAAGGAGCCAATTCGTGGGATGACACCGGCCAAGGAGGCTATTTATGGGATGGCTCCATCCAAGGAGGCCATCTGTGGTATGGCTGCATCCAAGGAGGCCATTTGTGGGAATGACTCCATACAAGGAGGCTATTTATGGTATGACTCCAGACAAGGAGGCCATTTGTGGGATGACACCAGCCAAGGAGGCTATTTGTGGGATGGCTCCATCCAAGGAGGCCATCTGTGGTATGGCTGCATCCAAGGAGGCCGTTTGTGGGAATGACTTCATACAAGGAGGATATTTATGGTATGACTCCAGACAAGGAGGCCCTTTTTATGGGATGACACCAGCCAGGGAGGCCATCTGTGGTATGGCTCCAGACAAGGAAGCCATTTGTGGGATGACACCGGCCAAGGAGGCTATTTGTGGGATGGCTCCATCCAAGGAGGCCATCTGTGGTATGGCTGCATCCAAGGAGGCCATTTGTGGGAATGACTCCACACAAGGAGGCCGTTTATGGTATGACTCCAGACAAGGAAGCCATTTGTGGGATGACACCAGCCAAGGAGGCTATTTGTGGGATGGCTCCACCAAAGGAGGCCACCTGTGGTATGGCTGCATCCAAGGAGGCCATTTGTGGTATGACTCCCGACAAGGAGGCCATTTGTGGGATGACACCAGCCAGGGAGGCCATGTTTGGTATGACTGCAGCCAAGGAGGCCATGTCTGGTATGACTGCATCCAAGGAGGCCATGTTTGGTATGACTGCAGCCAAGGAGGCCATTTTTGGTATGACTGCAGCCAAGGAGGCCATGTTTATGGTATGACTCCAGACAAGGAGGCCATTTGTGGGATGACACCGGCCAAGGAGGCTGTTTGTGGGATGGCTCCATCCAAGGAGGCCATCTGTAGTATGGCTGCATCCAAGGAGGCCATTTGTGGGATGATTTCACACAAAGGATGCCATTTGTGGATGACTCCAATCAAGGAGGCCATTTGTGGGATGACACCGGCCAAGGAGGCTGTTTGTGGGATGATTTCCATCCAAGGAGGCCATTTGTGAGATGGCTGCATCCAAGGAGGCCATTTGTGGGATGATTTCACACAAAGATGCCATCTGTGAGATGGCTCAAGCAAAGGAGGCTATTTGCGGGATGAGTTCACACAAAGATGCCATTTGACTCCAATCAAGGCGGCCATTTGTGGGGCGACTTCAGCCCAGGATGATATTTGTGGGATGACGCCAGGCAAGGATGCCATTTTGGGATGACTCCAGACGAGGATGCCATTTGTGGGATGACTCCAGACTAAGATGCCATTTTAGGGCTGATTTCTCCCATAGATGCCATTTGTGGGATGACTCCAAGCAAGGGTGTTATTTGTGGGTATGACTCCAGCAAGCCCAAAAAGGTTAGCATACTATCCACGACAACTACAAATGTTACTCACCACGCCTGGAATATATCCCCTTCTTATATTGCCTCTATATTGTCACAAGACGAGACACGTCCCACCCACAGAATGCAATAGATATAGTAAAACAAGCCATTCAACATTCAAACGTCATCGATTTGGGGAAGGATTAAACATCAGGCCGATATTAATGAGGCCTCTTTAGGAAAGATATTATGTTTCTGAACCAAAATGACCTGACTCCCCCTCCTTCCTTTTTGTACCAATTTTCAACAACATGTCTACAATATTCGTATTCTTGAAGGGGAAAGAACGTGTTTTCTTCGGTATGCAAGGGTCCTTTTCGCAGCGATTCCTTAATAATAATAAATAATTATGAGAAGTATATAATGCGCTAATCTCCACGCAACAAAAGCATGCTCAAAGCGCTAACACCCTGATTATTATTACCCCGGATAACCCAAGCTGCCTGTTAGGCGCTAGAAGGTTATAGTTACACGACTTTATCCAACCGGGTACCCATTTTCTGCTGGGTGAACAGAGGCAATTTTAGAACAATTCTCTCTCCTCCCCCCCAACACACACACACACACACACACACACACACACACACACACACGCACACACACACACACACACACACACACACACACACTCACACACACACTCACACACTCACACACACACTCACTCACACACACTCACACTCACACACACGCAAATGTTTCGGCCAAGCAGAGTTACTTTCCCTTGGTCAAACATCCGGAAATGCTGGAATTACACGGACGGGGACGAGAAACATAACAAATATCGTTCTGGCCTAATTGTCTGTGGCTCGTGACTTCCTCGATGGACAAAAGCGTCTCCTAATGATAGCGAGATTAGTGGAGAGCACCACAAATATCATTAGTCCACGGCGCGGTTATAGAGGACACACATCTGAAATATCACGCGTAATTACAGGATTAACTATTTATTTTCTAAACTTTGCTCACACGGACAAATCCGGGATGTCTACAGTTGGTTGTCATGATGTTTCAGTATTTCCAAACACCCAATTTTTAATTTGACAGTCCACTGAGGATAAAGCGTCTGCGCACTGTGTGTGTGTGTGTCTGTCTTTCTCTCACTCCTACGTCTTTCTCCCACTTTCCCCTCCCTCTCTTTGTCTTTCTCACTCCTACGTCTTTCTCCCACTCTCCCCTCCCTCTCTTTGTCTTTCTCTCACTCCTACGTCTTTCTCCTACTCTCCCCTCCCTCTCTTTGTCTTTCTCCTTCTCTCTCCCTCCCACTCCTTCCTTTCTCTCCTCCACTCTTTCTCCCTCCTTTGTCTTTCTCTCTCTCCCCTTTCTCTCCTCCCACGTCTTTCTCCCTCCCTCTCTGTCTTTCTCTCACTCCACGTCTTTTCGTCTCTCCCTCCCTTTCTCTCACTCCCACGTCTTTCTCCCCACTCTCCTTCTCTGTGTCTGTCTTTCTCTCTCACTCCCACTGTCTTTTTCTCCCTCCCTCCCTTTCTCTCACTACCACGTCTTTCTCCCTCCCCTCCTCTGTCTCTGTCCCTTTCCTCACTCCCAGTGTCTTTCTCCCACACTCTCCCTCCCTTTCTCTCACTCCCACGTCTTTCTCCCCTCTTCTGTTCTCTGTGTCTGTCTTTCTCCCACACTCTCCCTCCTTTCTCTCTCCCACGTCTTTTCCCTCCCTCCTGTGTCTGTCTTTCTCTCCTCCCACGTCTCTTCTCTCTCACTCCACGTCTTTCTCCCCCTCTCTCTGTCTGTCTTTTCTCTCTTTCTCCCACGTCTTTTCTCTCCTTCTCACACTCTCCCCTCCTCTCTGTATGTCCCTTTCTCCCTCCTCTTTCTCCCCCTCCTTCTGTGTCTTTCTCTCACTCCCTTCTCTCTGTCTGTCTTTCTCTCACGTCCCTCCCTCCCTCCCTCTCTCTCCCACACTGTCTTTCTCTCCTCCCACGTCTGTCTTTCTCCCTCCTGTGTCTGTCTTTCTCCCTCTCTCTCTGTCTATCTGTGTCTCTTTCGCTCACTCCCACGTCTTTCTCCCACACTCTCCCTCCCTTAATTCTCTCTCCCTCTCTTTCAAGGGGCATTGTGGTAGGCTAGTGGTTAAAGCGTTCGCTCCTCACGCGGAAGACCCGGGTTCGATTCCCCACATGGTTACAATGTGTGAAGCCTATTTCTAGTGTCCCCGCCTTGATATTGCTGTAACACTGCTAAAAGCGCTGTAAAAGCAAACTCATTCACCCACTTCTCTCTTTCAATCTCCTGTCTTTCTCTCATTTCCTCTCTCACTCCCCCTTTATCTCTCCCTCCTCTGGTATTTCTCTCTCTACGTGCGTGCGTGTGCGTGTGTTTGCTAGACTTTAAAATGAATACTGACCACCACGAGGAGAAACCCGGATACAGACAGCAACATGAAGTTCATGGACTTGGAGGCTCTTTCCAATTTTATTGTCATCATCATGTATACGCAGAGCAAGTTAACAAGAAATATATTTGTAGATGTCATGAATGATTATCAACATTTATAACAGGTATAATATACATAATATATACAGTATATCTCATCATTTACATCTACCTGAGTGAGTTCAGGTTCAAGTAAACCCATGAAGATCCAGGTTACAATTGATCTTCAGTAGCCCATGCTTGTCGTAAGAGGCGACTAACGGGATCGGGTGGTAAGGCTCACTGACTTGGTTGACACATGTCATCGTATCCCAGCTCCGTAGATCGATGCTCATGCTGTTGATCACTGGATTGTCTGATCCAGACTCGAGTATTTACAGACCGCCGCCATATAGCTGGAATATTGCTGAGTGCGGCGTAAAACTAAACTCACACAGGTTCAAAGTTCGGTGTTTTTTCCATTACAAGATATGGCAAACAAACATAACTTCCCAGCTACACCGAACACAGATCGGGATAATCACTATATTATCGCTTTTCTAGCTAATACAAAACACGTTTGTTTAACATCGTGTTGATCAATATTTCAGTGCGTCAGGTTAACATGGAACCCAAGAGGCACTGGTGTAATTATGACTTAAATGGATAACACGATCATGGTATTCTATCTAACACCCCCTCTATTGTGTAGTAGTTCAATGACAAATAATACAAACGGCAATTTAACGGTCACTGCTTATGTTTACCACAATGTCCGGATGTTACGCCTACCTGAAAACGGAAACACTTTGTGCACATGCGCAATGCCTGTCTATTCACGCTTGAATCTCATTCGTGACCCACTCGTGTTATTCCGGGACAAGCCGAATAGCGACTCGTGTCTTCATTCGTGACGAGTTGGTCACGAATGTCGTGTCTTCGAGGTTACGGAAAGGGGCGAGTGGTGAATTACTTGAATGTGAGTGGAAGACAGTTGACTGACTGAAGTTTCCTTTTACGGGTCACGGCGGGGACGAAATGGGCTTCACATTGTACCCGTGTGGGGATTCGAACCCGGGTCGGCGTGACGAGTGGAAGCAACAGACGTGAATGGGCGACATCTTGTGTTTTGAGTTTTAATGAGTATAATTCGATTCATCCGAACTCAACAAACTCTCAATGGTATGTTCCGATGGCTCCATTAATCCAAATCCCTCCCTCAATGTCTGTTTATTGTACAATGACTACCGACATTCGCGCATGTTCTCACTTGTCCGAGATTTCATGACCTGATGACGTCCAAAACCAACCAACTCCCAAACGCCACCACTATTTTGACAGTTCGGAAAACATGCAAATTCATTGGATTTTCATTTTCAAAATGTCAGACTCCAGTGGTTCCGTGTGTCAAAAACTTCGCTGACGTTTCCACCGTGTCACCGCTGTCGACACTTAGATGTTGTTACAGTATCCAGCGGGGCAGTGGGGTAGCCTAGCGGTTAAAGCGTTCACTCGTCACGCCGAAGACCCAGGTTCGATTCCCCACGTGGGTACAATGTGTGAAGCCCATTTCTGGTGTCCCCCGCCATGATATTGCTGGAATATTGCTTGAAGCGGCGTAAAACTAAACTCACTCACTCACTACAGTATCTAGCTGGTGTCACACTGTCCAGCTACCCGTTCAATGTCCAGCCAGTGTTGTCTACACAATGAGTGAGTTTAGATTTACGCCGCAATATCTGAGCAATATCAGGACGAGGGACACCAGAAATGTGCTTCACACATTGTACCATGTGGGGAATCGAACCCGGGTATTCGTCGTGACGAGCAAAGCTTTAACCACTAGGCTACCCCACCGCCCTGTCGCTACACAGACAACTGTCGTTAAGTTGACCAAGTGACGTCACAATGTCCCTCATTCGTCACGTGTCTAGCTGGTCTGAGCGATTGTGAAGTCTCCCCTCTGTAGCAGGGTATCCCGCAATTCTTCAAGCAAAGGCTGGGGGTCATAGTCCTCACCGATGCCGCCATATTTCTCCGGCAAGTGTTGGGGACTGATCCATTCATACAGCTTCTTCAAATTGTTACCATGTACGAAAATCTGAAATTGAATGTGACTACTGTGTAAAGTTGCAAGTTTTCAAGTGAAGTCCTGTGCGCTCTGACCCGATTATCTGGAAACAGATTTCGATGAGTGAGTGAGTGAGTTTAGTTTTACGCCGCACTCAGCAATATTCCAGCTATATGGCGGCGGTCTGTAAATAATCGAGTCTGGACCAGACAATCCAGTGATCAACAGCATGAGCATCGATCGGCGCAACTGGGAACCGATGACATGTGTCAACCAAGCCAGCGAATCTGACCACCCGATCCCGCTAGTCGCCTCTTACGACAAGCATGGGTTACTGAAGGTTCATTCTAACCTGGACCTTCACAGGTCGACTGAACCAGAAAAGGATGAGGCAATACTACCTTCAGAATTTGCAGAATTATGCAACGTCAGTAAGATCAACGTTCAAACAAAAGGCAACAGAGATGGACTTTAACCTTAAAAGGACGCCATCTCTATGACATCGAGCCTTTTGTTACTAAATTACATTTATCTCGAAACAATCGGAGAGAAGAGTTTCTTTTAACCAGGCTTGGGCATTGTGGTCATGGACATTGTGGTCTTGGTGCATGTCTCAGTATTAATAATAAAAAATTTCCGCGATTTGTACAGTGTGTAATCAGCTAGATAACGTGGAGCATTATTTACTGCATTGTGAAAATATGTAAATCAACGTTGATGGTGGAATCTCTTACCGCTCTCAATATTGACATCTCGTTGGCCGGGCTATGTATTATGTTCAGGGAATATCGTTCGCCATGAAATTCAGGATGTCATTCTTGATCATATTAAAGCGTGTCTCAGTTTTGCTACTTTATGAAATTTTATTGTGGACAAGGTGTAAATGGGTCTAGTTTCCCGAACACCTATTAAATATTTTTTAATAATCATTCAGGATGGAAATTCCGTAAGAAACGTTTCCAATGTTAAAAAACAACTTACCGCTAATTGCTTGACCGGCAGTGTCAAAGTTGGCGAGACAATAATGAAGCATACAGCTTAATGCATAACATCTCCTTGTCTTATGTATGTTTTGGTGCAGGTTCTTATATCGTTATCAATTTAAGTGTTAAGATTCTACACCGAAACGTCGCTCTGTGCAATAAGCAAGAAGTTGTTGTCCATAAGCTTCAATACATACTGCGTAGAAGCATAAGCATCAATATTAACATAACACTAAAGCGGTGATTTTTTTTTGTCTTGACATGTGTGGATTAATTGTTTAAATGTACTTGTATATGGCCTGGTATTTCGCAGTTTTTCGTTTGGCTTTTCGACAAGAATCCCAAGGGTTGTGGGGTGGAGCGCACCTACCCTGGACGCTAGCTTGTTCTTCATGAAGGGTCTACCCAGCGCCATTACCATGCTGAAGTACCATGGCTGCCGTATCACGTGGAATCCCTTGAACCGACCTGGAAACGCCCCCTGAAAACATTTGGATAATTGTTTCATAAACTGGTGAAAGTGAGAGGTTTGGACACTATAATACTCATCAACACAGATTCATCATAACATCTTATCAATGTTATTTGCAGCATAAACATCATCATCTTGAATCTGTAGCAATGTATTTTATCATTATCATTTCCACATATGATGATGATGATGATGATGATGATCATCATCATCATCATCATCATCATCATCTACTTCGCTTGCATCAGAAACGTTATATTATCGCAATGTAGTCATTTAGTCATCATCAGCTGGTGTGTGGTAGCCATCAGTGGTTAAAGCGTTGCGCTCGTCACGCCGAAGACCCGAGTTCGATTCCCCACATGGGTACAATGTGTGAACTCTATTTCTGGTGTCCCCCGCCGTGATATTGCTGGAATATTGCTAAAAGCGGTGTAAAATTAAACTCACTCAGTCGCCATCTAGTAACTAACACGAAGTGTTTTATGACTATCACCCGGAGCAGTACCCGTGAAGATTATTTGCAGGCAGTTGCCATATAGCTGGCATATTGCTGAGTGCGGCGTAAAACATGAAATTAAACAGAAAACCAACACAAAAATAAAACAGCGGCATTAAACATCATCCAAACAAAACAGAAACCGTGGATGTCGGCATGGGGTTCACTGGTGGCACACTGGTCTGAGGTGGTGCTGTTGGGAGATCCCGGGTTAGGTTGGCTCCGTAGCAGTGAGAGAGTTTAGTTTGGATTTACGCCGCTTGTAGTAATATTCCAGCAATATCACAGCGGGGACACAAGAAATGGGCTTCACACAATGTACCCATGTGGGGAGTCGAACCCTGGTCTTCGGCGTGAAGAGCGAACGCTTTAACCACTAGGCAACCCCACCGCCCGGACTCAATAGCAAACTTTACTGGTTATAAGAGTTTATAGGTTGATATGGCTCGTTGAGATGGTGACATTGTATTCCGACGACGATGTTCATGCTGTCCACCACACGTCGTTATACAGCTGGACTGACTGACTGACTGAGTTTAGTTTTACGCCGCATTTAGCAATATTCCAGCAATATCACGACGGGGGACACCTGAAATGGGCTTCATACATTGTACCCATGTGGGTAATCGAACCAGGGTCTTCGGCGTGACTAGCGAACGCTTCAACCACTAGGCTACCCAACCGCCCGTCATACAACTGGAGTATCGCTGAGGCAACATCAAACCACAACCACTGCTCATAACATCAATCACTGAAGTGTGATCAGACTCAATTATTTACAGATCGATATCATATATGCACTAACGGCTGAGTACGGGGTCACGCCGAAGACTGGGTTCGATTCCCGACATGGGTACAATGTGTGAAGCCATTGTATGGTGATGTTGCTGGAATATTGTTAAAAGAGGCGTAAACCCATACTCACTCACTCACTCATTGACGTTGACAACCAAACAAATCTTACCTGCAGCATATCCACCAGCTTCCTGACGTCGGACGCCTTCAACTGCATGGCTTGGCTGATGTGGTAATCTTCATACGTTTCCAAGACAACAAAGCCCCGGATCTGGTTCTCCTCATTCTCAACCAGGTTCTCGAGAAGAAACAGGAAGCTTGCCAACATCTCGTCAAACGAGATTTTGTTGTGGTCCCACGACCCCGTGTCGTACATGATCACCACACGACCCTGTAATGGAGGGCAAGCATGTTGTAGCGGAAGTAGTTAAATATGGCATATTTATTGAGGTCACTAGAATTTGGAGACCAATATTAATCCGGGTTAAAATTGGTCTTCACCAACCCATGCTTGTCGTAAGAGGCGGCTAACGGCTAACGGGTGACGACACAGAATATGAATGAAAACTAAAACTCACTCACTCACTCACTCGACCCTTGAAGATCCGACTGACGGGATCGGATGGTCAGGCTCGCTGACTTGGTTGACACATGTCATCGTATCCCATTTGGGTAGATCGATGCTCATGATGTCAATCTCTAGTTTATTTACAGACCGCCGTCGTGTAGCTGGAATATTGCTGAGTGCGGCGTCACAAACAAACAAACACATCCCGGAATTGGATTTGGATGCCATTTTTTCCCAAACCAGGAATCAAGCGAACACTTTAACCACCTATCTACAACCCCACCACCCTACCACCCCACCTCCCCACCACCCCACCACCCCACCTGGGTCAGCTTTACCTGTTTGTCTTTGACTGGCAGCACCCCGGGGAAGGACTGCTCAAGGGCGTGGCGCACCCCGTTGTAGGTCAGCTGGTCAGTGACGGACTGGTATTTCGCCCTGAACTTCACATAGGCTGCAGAATCAAAACAGTGAGTGAGTGAGTGAGTGAGTGAGTGAGTGAGTGAGTGAGTGAGGAGTGAGTGAGTGAGTGAGTGAGTGAGTGAGTGAGTGAGTGAGTGAGTGGGTGGGGGTGGGGGTTGAGTGAGTGAGGGAGGGAGCGAGCGGGTGAGTCCCGTTGTAGGTCAGCTGCTCAGTGATGGACTGGTATTTCGCCCTGAACTTCACATAGGCTGCAGAATCAAAACAGTGTGTGAGTGAGTGTATTTTGTTTGGTCTGTAAATAATCGAGACAACCAGACAATCCAGTGATCAACAGCATGAGCATCAATCTACGCAGTCGGGATACTATGACATGCATCAACCAATTTCTAAGTTAGCTGATCCCGTTAGTCGCCTCTAAGAAAAGCCCCACGACAAGCAGGGGTTGCTAAAGACAGTTCTAACCCGGATCACGGGTCGACTGAGTGAGTGATCGGGTAACCAGGATCTATTTACGATTCATATTGTGTCGGCATTGACACATGAGGTCTCTCAGTTCCTCACGTAACTAAACACATCACCCTGACATTGGTAATCGTGCGTACACCGTGATCATGACAGCTCCTGGTCAAATGTTCACAAGAGGGGGTTTAAAGTACCTGGTGGGATTGTATGTTTGATTTACTGTTAACAACGTGTGCTATCATCAGGTAGACTCGCGATAATCCAAAAATGGTTGCACCTGCATACCGCGATCTAAAATTATAATAATGTGGTTGTGTTGTTGAGTGAACGCATGCACTCAGCAACACGCCAGCTATATGTCCACGGCCTTCAAATAACCCAGTCTTCACTAGACAGCCAGGTGATTGACATTATGAACACCGATCGGGGATCTTCATATGGGCATTTCGGTTTGATATATTCGTGCGTGACGTTTGTTTGCTTGTATATATGACAGCAACCTGTATATCATCGAATCTGGGCCAGAAACTCCAGTGATTGATATTATGAAGAATGATAAGGCTATTTTGGTTGGGTGTATTCGTGTGAGGCGTTTGTTTGTTTATCGAGTCTTGACCAAAACGTCCAGTAATTGATATTATGAGCGACAACAGGGGTTATATACTGGTGTGGGTTGTATATTTGCTTGTTTGTTTATATGACACTGCCTTCAGATTACCGAGGGGGCGGTGGGGTAGCCCAGTGGTTAAAGCGTTCGCTCGTCACGCCGAAGACCCGGGTTCGATTCCCCGAATGGGTACAATGTGTGAAGCCCATTTCTGGTGTCCCCCGCCGTGAAATTGCTGGGATATTGTTAAAAGCGGCGGAAAGCCCAACTAACTAATTCACTCACTCAGATTACCGAGTCTTGACTATACAATCTATATAGAGAGGGCATGAGTGGGCTTAATTTTTTGTCATCGTTTGATAGGGAACAATTGATTAATTGTAATTATCAGTGAACTGATGGTAGTACATCGATGCTTAAAAGTTGAGATCAAATTCTATTCAAAAACTTGACAGAAAGCCAGACTTGCGTTTCTTTTGCTCTTCAGTATTTATATCGATAGACGGACACCAGGATTCAGATATCCGCGATTATGACCATTGATCATTTTCTCTGGCTGTAGGAGGCAACCGAATGGAACCCTACGACGTGGACCCTTGCCCTCAATATCGACCATTGTCTGGTCCAGGAACGACTGACTGAGTTTGGTTTTACGCCGCTTTTAGCAATATTCCAGCAACATCACGGCGGGCTTCACACATTGTACCCATGTGGGGATTCGAACCCGGGTCTTCTGCGTGACGAGCGAACGCTTTAACCACTAGGCTACCCCACCGCCCCGGTCCCGGAACGACGATTATTTACAGGACACCGTAGTATATATGGAATGTTACTGAGTGCGGCGTAAAACAACAAACAAGCATAACTTAAGTCACGTGTCGCATTCCTACCTGACATCATCTCATAGGTCTTCTTCACATCAAACTTCTTGGTCCGGAGGAACCTGATAAGATACGAGTCCTTCTTTCCCCCAAAGAACTCCGACACAGCATCCCCTTTCTCCGTGTCCGCCTCGTTCGTCAGCATCTTCCGCAATTCTAGAAGCTTCTCACTCCGTACAGAATCAGTCTCATTCAGTTCAGACTCCGCCATCTCTTTCAAGGATGGAGACAGTTCTCCACAGGGTGACAGGATCTGGTGGTAGAACTCACGTTTCTCATCAAAAGACATTGTAGGGACGGAGATGTGACGGTGGAGGACTGTGGGTGGGGGGTCATTGCCTCCGTTCTCTACAGTGTTGTCCTCCCCTCCACCCGGAACTGAATTGGGAGGGCCAGTTGGGGGTGAATCCGATGGGTCTGCTGTTTCAGTAGATGGTTGTTTGTTGGAGTCTTCTGCTTGATGTTCGTCTGCTGGGAGGTCAGGGGTTACTTCCGGTGTGGAATTAGAGGCTACTTCCGGTTCGGGATAAGAGGTTACTTCCGGTGTGGGATTTGATGCAACTTCCAGTTTGGGATTAACGGTTACTTCCTGTGAGGGATTAGAAGATACTTCCGGTGTGGGATTGGATGTCACTTCCGGTTTGGGATTAGCGGTTACTTCCACTGTGGGATTGGACGTCACTTCCGGTTTGTTATTTTGTGGTACTTCCGGTTGGGGTTTCGACGTTTCTTCACTTGTTTCGTTGCTGTTCTTTGCAGGGTTTGGTGTTTCCTCTTGGGCTGGAATACTGTCATCCTCTGGTCTGGGTCCCTGTGTGTTTGTGTCGGTTTCTGGTTCACTCATTTTGCTCGACGAATGTTACTCTCCCCTCACTGTTAAAAATAAAGCAGATGTTAATGTTTGCCAGTCAAAGACGTCATAGATATTTGGGAATATTAGGTGAGTTGGCGGTGAGTAAATGGTTAGGTGGTTTGTTTGTTTGTTTGTTGTTTAACGCCGCACTCAGCGGTCTGTAAATAATCATATCTGGGCCAGATAATCCAGTGATCAACAGCATGAGCATCGATCTACACGATGGGGATACGATGACATGTAAACCGACTGAGGGAGTCTGACCACCTGATCCCGTTAGTCGCCTCTTATATTACGACAAGTATTATTTACTGAAGATCAATTCTAACCCAGATTTTCACGGGTCCAAGGCTGTACTGAATGCTAAGCTCAGATGTAAAGTGAGTGAATTTGGTTTGATGCCGCTTTTAGCAATATTCCAGCAAGATCACGACAGGGGACACCAGAAATGGGGTTCACACATAGTATCAATGGCTGTCCCTTTGTATGATCCAGAACATTAAAAGTACACTATACAGCAATATAAACTGACGTACAAAAGAAAGTATACAATTCATTCAGTAACCCATGCTTGTCGTAAGAGGCAACAAACGGGATGAGGTGGTCAGGCGTACTGATTTTACTGACATTTGCCATCGTATCCCAATTGCGTAGATCGATTCTCAAGATGTTGATCACTGGATTGTCTGGTCCAAAATCAATTATTTACAGACCATCACCATATAGCTGGAATATTGCTGATTGCGATGTAAAGCAACAATCAATCAATCATAAAACACAGACACTTACAATTAAATGAGGTCTCCCTTCTTGACAGCTTGCCACAATTACGACAGTATATTTGCTGACAAACCAATTGCAAGTACCACAATCAGGGCAAATCTAGGATTCGAACTCACGACGAGTTAAGTGAAGTGAGTGAGTGAGCGTCAACTGGCTTTTGGCAATATTCCACCAATATCACTGCTGGCATATAATTGTCTAATAAATTTTTTTGATAAGGCAACCCTTGACCAAGGCCTATCCCAAACCCAAGCGGGATCAAAACGCACGAACCGCAGTTGGAAATATATTTCTTTATTATTTATCAAAGAAACAAAAATCGCAAAAATCCTGAATCTTTCAAAATATTTAGGGATCCCTTTTCCTCTTTTATTACAAATTTAAGCCAAAACATCTTAAATGGATTCGAGTCAGACACTTAATGTTAGTTAAATGGTTTATGTTGTTCTTTATGTGTTCATTCGTTCGTTTAAGGCCACTCCAAACAATGTAACGGGGGCTGTTGGATAGCCTAGTGGTTAAGGCGTTCACTCGACCCGGGTTCGATTCCCCACATGGCTACACTGTGTGAAGCCCATTTCTGGTGTCCCCTGCCGTGATGTTGCTGGAATAGTGCTAAAAACGGCGTAAAACTAAACTCACTCTCTCACTAACAATGTAACGGTATATAACTGGGTTCTGTGTTTAATCGGACCTGGACCAGGCTAACCAATGGGTGTAATCAGACACACCGATCTACACGAAAGGGATACCATGATATGCATCAACAGAGTCAGCGAGCCTGACCACCCGATACGATCCTGGGACTTGCGGGACTGAAAGTGTGATGACCACTGAAGTGTCATAAAATACCGAAACCACAAGCAATAAAACCGAGTTATTTAATGGCTGAACTTTCATGCTCCAGACCGCCTCTGTGGTGTAGTGGTTACAGCGCCCGCCCGGAGAGCGGAAGGTCGCGGGTTCGATCCCCGACCGTGTCATACCAAAAGACGTTAAAATATGGCACTTGTTGGTCCCTGCCTGGCGCTCGGCATTAATGGGTACAACAAGTTTGACGGCTCGGAGTCAGTATAGTGTGTCTGAGTGGGGTATTCATGCTTCACTGCGGCATGGTATCTCAGTGGGCTAGCACTATAAAACCAGCTTCAGTCTGGGCTAGTACAAGCAGCCGCACATACACATACACACGCATGCACGTCGTCATATGAGCGAAATATTCTCAAGCACGACGTTAAACCCAATTTCACCTCACCTCACCTCCACGCTACATGTCATGATCGAAGGGTCACCTTGGGAAAGTGAGCGGGTATTGCTTTACCCTGTTTTAACAATATGTCCGCTCGATAATGGCTGGGGACATCAGAAATGGATTTCAAACATTGTACCAAATTGGGAATCGAACCCGGGTCTGGTGTGAACGAAAATACTTCGACTGACTGACTGACTGAGTTTGGTTTTACGCCTCTTTTAGCAATATTCCAGCAACATCACGGCGGGGGATACCAGAAATGGGCTTCACACATTGTATCCATGTGGGGATTCGAACCCGGGTTTTCGGCGTGACGAGCGAACGCTTTAACCACTAGGCTACCCCACCGCCCCTGAAAATACTTCGAGTGAGTGAGTGAGTTAAGTTTTACGCCGCTTTTAACAATATTCCAGCAATATCACGGCAGGGGACACCAGAAATTGGCTTCACACATTGTACCGGGAATCGAACCCGGGTCTTCGAATTTAGTTTTACGCCGCACTCAGCAATATTCCAGCTATAAGGCTGCGGTCTGTAAATAATCGGATCTGGACCAGACAATCCAGGGATCAACAGCATGAGCATCAATCTATGCAATTGGGAACCGATGACATGTGTCAAATAAGTCAGTGAACCTGACCACCCGATCCCGTTAGTCGCCTCTCACGACAAGCATGGGTTACTGAAGATCAATTCTAACCCGGACCTTCACGGGTCTCTGCGTGACGAGCGAAGGCTTTAACCACTAGGCTACCCCAAGTGCCCCGAAAGTATGTACTTCGAAAACATATCTGAAAACTATTAATGATCAGACAAAACATATATCTATGACAGATGTGTCATAGGCCACGGATATACATGTATAAACAATCTCGTATAAGGGAAGCTACTGATGTGGGTACTACATCTCGTTGCCATGACGACCAGAAGAGTGAGTACAATACCTGGTATAAGGCAGGTGTGTAGCCTCGCTGACTGTGCACAATGCTTCAACATTGACGTTATCAGGTATTATAGATATGGGTTCAGGCAACAGCTTGTGGACGTTGGTCAGGCGATAACGATGTAATACCGCCTAGATGCCGTAATGCTGGCCTTTACGGCTCGAATTGAGTGAGTGAGTGAATATAATTTTACGCCGCTTTTAGCAATATTCCAGAAATATCACTGCAGGGGACACCAGAAATGGGCTTCACACATTGTACCCATGTGGGGAATCGAACCCGGTCTTGGGAGTGACGAGCGAACGCTTTAACCACTAGGCTACCCCGCCGCCCCCTTTACGGCTTGAAGGATCATATGGGTTTTAGTGCATGAAGGACAAGCAAACAAACAAATAAACAAACAAACAAAAATTAATAAATAAATAAATAGAATGAATCAATGAATGACAAATAAATAAATAATAAAAAGAATGAATGAATGAATAAGTGAGTGAGTGAATGGGTGAGTGAGTGAGTGAGTGAGTGAATGAATGAATGAATGCAAAATGAATAAATAAACTGATTCACGAAAACGAATTGTCAGAAAATTCAACTGAGATTCAAAGGAGTTAACAAAAAGTATTAAAGAGGATAAATCATAACAGATTTAAATGAATGAATTCACCGTAAAACACCTCGAAATAATCATTGAGTGATTCATATTGTTATGTGGATGAATACTGTATCAAACACACTCACTCAAACAAACAGACAGAATTAATTGAGTTAGTTTAGTTTTACGCCACTTTTAGCAATATTCCAGCAATAACACGTCGGGTGACACCAGAAGTAGGCTTCCATGTGGGGAATCGAACCCGGACCTTGGGCGTGACGAGCGGACGCCTTAACCACTCGGCTACCCCACCTCCCGTGACAGAAGTTGGAGCATGACGACTGTTCTACTGTTGAACCTTTGCTTACTGTGTACCTAATGATTGAGAAAGATGAGGTGCGGTGAAATCGGGTTTAACGTCGTGCATGAGAATATTTCGCTCATATGACGACGTGCATGCGCGTGTATGTGTATGTGCGGCAGCTTGTACTAGCCCAGACTGAAGCTGGTTTTATAGTGCTAGCCCACTGAGATACCATGCCGCAGTGAAGCATGAATACCCCACTCAGACACACTATACTGACTCCGAGCCGACCAGTCCTTGTTGTACCCATTAATGCCGAGCGCCAGGCAGGGACCAACAAGTACCATATTTTAAGGTCTTTTGGTATGACGCGGACGGGGATCGAACCCGCGACCTTCCGCTCTCCGGGCGGACGCTCTAACCACTACACCACGGAGGCGGTTGATTGAGAAGCGATTTGACAGATTTTCCTCATACGTGTTTTCCTTGTTTACTTCAACTGAGACCTAGTAAACAATGGGCATTGACATGCTCTATCTTAGACTAAAACCACGTGACGCTCATGGCGTGGATCTTCCACATTAATCACTCAAGGCTGTTTCGTGTCGTCCTGTGCTGCTGCGAACCGTATGCATTCTTTAAATCACCAACCATATTTTGTAGTGACTGAGTTTTGTTTTACGCCGCTTTCAGCAATATTCCAGCAATATCGCGGCGGGGGACACCAAAAATGGGCTTCACACATTGCACCCATGTGGCGAATCGAACCCAGGTCTTCGGCGTGACGAGCGAACGCTGTACCATTTGGCTACCCCACTTGCTTGTGACTAAGTATTGTCAGGCTCGCTGATGGATGTCGTCTTATCTCGATGCTCATGATATCAATCCCTGGATTGTTTTGTCCCGGGCTGAATTATATACAGACCGCAGTCAATTAGCTGGAATATTGCCAAGTGTTGCGCAAAACAACAAACTGTCCGCGCACTTTGATTCAGTATTTATAATAACCTTAATTCCTGCAAGCAACCCGGAACTACGAGCGGATTAGAAACATCAACGTTGGTTAACAAATGATAGACAAGCAGAGCGCACTGGAACTGGCAGTTACATCTGAAGAAAGCAACCAACAGGGGGCATGTTACCCCTGTTTGCAGCATCTGGACACAACAACTATGCCGAATTCTGCACATTGTATCTTCAGGATTGTCTTTGTCTGTGCTTGTCACAGAAATGATTATGGAAGCTGAGTCTGTTTACAATCACCCAAAGCAATTATGGAGTGACATAGAGAGAGCATAGTCATAGAGCAATGTCTAATCAGAGCAGGCAAAATTCAAGGAGACTTAATCAGCATCACCCACAAAGGATTCAGCATGAACCAAATAACTGCCTGTGTGCACAAATGTGACAGGGATGACATTTGGAAAGGTGTTGAAGAAGGCATCACAAGTAGTCACATTTGATTTACCACCATGCTGAAGTGTGTCCGCCTATCAGACGGGGGACAGCCGAGGATATCATCAATGGAGCTGTGTCAGCGATTACTTATCAATAACTCTTGTGAAATTCGGTCCTCCATCTGCAGATGTATTCTCATTTGAACTTGCAACAGTGTCACCAGCTTTCTTCCATGATGATGGATCCATGAGTAAAATGCCCGTCTGTGTCCTGGCCAGATATCTGCTTACACATTACCGGTACTACAAAGAAGAAGAAAACACACAACGCGAGGCGTAGTCGTTGATGTGCACTTCTCAGCATATACCATGGCCAAGAGTTGGTACCATTGCTGACATATGCAAGATTATGTTGACAGTGTCATGCACAGAACAACGAGGAAGTGGATATGCACTGATTTATCACAGCAAAAATCAGGAAGTCACAGTAACAGCTTATATCTATAAATAGTTGGCTGCAATGGGCGAGGATTGTGAATAGGTATGAAGCCAGATGGTGTCCGCATGAATGCGATATATTGCACTAAACTTGGACAACGTAACTGTGACTTTTCTGAGAAAATGTATACACAAATGGATGTTTCCTTATTTCAAATGGAGACATCGATTCCATTGTTGAAACACCGCATACATCGTCATGACGTCATGTACAAAGGCCGACGTCATCTTATGTCATTGCGTATTCATATGACGTCACGTTGCTTTTAGCCTTTTTGCAAACAGTAGGAAGCTGGGCCCCGTCTCGCATATCGCAATATGCAAGTTAGGGCGCGCAAAGGGAGCTGGGAACCAGCTTACGAACAGGTGTTACGGCAATGTTCATGGAGAAATACGGGAAATAATATTATATGTATATATTTTCACCAGTATCCCAACACCTGTATGTAATCTATGGAAATTAATTCACGAGCGAATATATATTCCCCGAACTGTAGCGACAGCGAATAATAAATAATAAATTACTTTTCTTGTCAAAGTATACTAAATCACTTTTCTTGTCAAATAACTCGTTCATCTCAAAGAATTACCCATAATATTGACTTTTTTTATGAGTGAAGCAAGAAAAACACAAATGTTCCATTTATTATGTATTTTCTTTTATTACTCACCCGTTAAAGATATCACTGTTTAATAACTTTACAATGTTATTACACATTGTGTAATAACATCACGTGGTACCGTACGTATTACGTAAAACTGGTTTACAGTTATGACGTCACAATGCTAATACCTCTGTCACAATAGTATTAGACCTTGCCACTCTCCTACCCAGAGTTCCATGCGGCAAGCCAGCATAGTACCTCTGCCACAGGCCAGAAAAATGTGACGATTCGTCACATCTTGCAATGTCCATTCAATATAATGTACAGATTTCTTTTACTCTTTTATTTTTGACGAGTCTACACATCTAACTAAACATCTTAAATAGAATGGTTTAGTTTCACTGAGAAAATATCCAAAAACATGTAACACTATTTCGATTTGCGTAGCGATCCTTTGTTTACATAGGTTGTACGGCTCCACGTGCTGTCATCGAAGCTGATGGAGAGCAAACGATGCAGCCAGTTTGGTATCTAAATATGTACTGTCATAGACCTTACTGTCGCAGTTGTGGAAGAATATATATGTAACAATGTAAAACATTATGAAGAGAGCGCCGAAAAGCTTTCGTGAGTCCAGTCTCTTCTTGTTATGAATATGCGCGTTTGATTACAAACAAGAGAAAAGTCCGGTCACGTGATATGCAACTTAGCCTGTGGCAGTGATGTTATGTTAAGTCATCGCTGTGCCGGAGTGTGAGACCTTGCTTGACTCGCGGAAAGCTAAGAGTCATCACTCTCGTTGAATTCTTTGGAAATAAGTACTTTGCTCGATATTATTTTGCTAATGTTGGGTGAGTAATAAATAAAATACTAAACTATGTCCCGTGTAATATCATATTTACTCGTGAATGGTATTGGTATCTAACTCGCTTTCGCTCGTTAGATACCAACCGTTCACTCGTTTCATAAATATGGTGAGGTGAGGTGAAATTGGGTTTCGCTCATATGACGCCGTGCATGCGCGTGTATGTGTATGTGCGGCTGCTTGTACTAGCCCAGACTTAAGCTGGTTTTATAGTGCTAGCCCACTGAGATACCATGCCGCAATGAAGCATGAATACCCCACTCAGACACATTATACTGACTCCGAGCCGACCAGTCCTTGATGTACCCATTAATGCCGAGCGCCAGGCAGGGACCAACAAGTACCATATTTTAAGGTCTTTTGGTATGACGCGGTCGGGGATCGAACCCGCGACCTTCCGCTCTCCGGGCGGACGCTCTAACCACTACACCACGGAGAAGGTCTCATAAATATGGTATTACACGGGACATCGTTTAGTATTCTCTATGTGTGTTTTTCATGACATAAATCTGAAAAAACGAGTGTCACTGGGCCAATCTTTAAGTGATTCCGTCAGACCGTGCTTTTTCACTTCAAACAAAATAACAATTATGTATTGGAAAATGTATACAGTATTTAAACTAAGTATTTAGCTTCTGCGAGGACTTACAATAGCAATACGCTATGATCTAAAACAAACACTTCTGTATGTGGGTTCTTTCATTCCTTTAGTAGATTTACGGTAATTCGTTACAATGTGTTGAATGTGTACGAACAATACAGATTATTGCAAGTTGTGTATAAGAGTGTGACCGTGAATGAACAACAGGTTTCAGTCGTCTTGCGTCACCCCGTCTATGGATTAACTGATCTGTGTTATGAAATATATAACAGTGATTTGAATGAACGCCATGTTCAAAGTTACACCTTTCAGTTATCGCCATTGTAGCTCGGGGGCTGCTTCACAAAATCTTGTGAAGAGGACAAGATCATCCTGAATGGTGGCGACGTCTCGCGATGGTGGAGATGTCATGTTGACCTGTGTGACCGCACTCGCACGGTTTGGTCACTCTTATGGTTGAGTAACTTCGGGAAAACGTCTTGTTTTTTTAGAGTGTTCACAACTACGCCCCTGTTAACAAAGCGATTTTAGATTGAAAATAGACCGGCTTTTGTAATTATGATCCTACTGCTGGGGAAGTGACAGGAAATATACACGTACGGTGCAGTGTGTGTATTTGTGTCTGAATGAGTGCCTGTGTCTCTATCTGTGTGTGGCTCCCCCCCTCTCTCCGAGTGTGTCTCTCTATCTGTGTGCGTACTTGCGTGTGTATGTGCTTGTCTCTCCGTGAAGATCCGGGTTAGATGATCTTCAGCAACCCATGCTTGTCGTAAGAGGCGACTAACGGGATCGGGTAGACTAAGGCTTAGTCTCTGAATCGATGCTCATGCTGTTGATCACTGGATTGCCTGGTCCAGACTAGATTATTTGCAGACCGTCGCCACATGGCTGGAATATTGCTGAGTGTGGTGTAAAACTAAACTCACTCACTCACTCTCCGTATGTGTGTGTGTGCCTGTGTGTGTGTTTCTGTGTCTGTGTATGGATGTGTGTGAGGGATTGTACTAATTTGGCTTAATGCCAGTTTCTCTATCTGTGTGTATGTTTGCTGTGTATGCGCTTGTCTCTTCGTATGTGTGTCTCTCTCTCTGTGTCTCTTCGTGTGCGTCTCTGTGTGTCTCTTTGTGTCTATGTATGTGTGAGCCTGTATGTGTCTCTCCGTGTGTGTATCTGTGTATGTATGTGTGTGAGGGCTTGCATTGGTTTAGCTTAATGTCAGTTTCATTGTAACATTCGAAACAAACAACACGCGTGCGCGCACGCACGCACACACACGCATGCACGTTGCTTTGTAAGTGAGATAATGTTCAACCCTATATTGCCCCTTACTTATCACACCATTTACGGTAAAGCAATACCCACTACTGTTCAAGGCTTATAACGAGGACGTCATACACAGGCGATACCAAACTGTTTGACTTACATCACTGAGGTTTCCACCTGCCATGTGTACATGACCCCCTCAATGAGTGCACCTACTTCAACTCCCTTGTCACATCATTTACACTAGAGCAATACCCACTCCTGCCCAACCCCAATATCAAACCAGGACGTCACACACAGGCGCCTTCAAACACTGAGCTCTACAGTTACCATTTACGTCGATAGATACGTCCCCCACGACGTCACTATATACATGCACCTATTTCAACACTCCTATCATACCATTTACGGTAAAGGTATACCTACTTCTGTTCAACGCTAATATAACGAGGAAGTCAAACACAGGCGTCATCAAACTGTTTGACTTAATCTCTGAGGCTGCCACTTGCCATGTGTACATAAATACGACCCCCTGGAAATAAATATGTGGAAGAAACAGACTTACCTATATATTAACCCGTGATACAGCTCACCCGATCTACATAGTATATCGCGTCAGATCCGTCTTCGTGTTACGACACGGAACTGCTATCGATAACACAAAGCCTGTATCACGTGACGATACATAGTCTCACTCCACGCGAGCATGACAAAAAGTATTAATATAAGCTATGCCATTTTCACTGTGGTGAGGAGAGCGGATTGATTGATTGATTGACACTTTTATGCGCATGGAAGAATGTTTGATGTTAAACATCAATCATAAATTCTATGATTTTTTGTAAGTCTGCGAACACGCTTCGTGCAACGTGTTTCAACTACAGACCGTTTGGCTCAAAAGCGGACCGATGAATTGCAATCTAACTCGAAAACTACTAAACATAACATACTCAATGAAACGCTGATCATAATCAAAACATCATACAGTATTTTCTGTTTATTAGTTTTCGAGTTAGATTGCAATTCATCGGTCCGCTTTTGAGCTTTTGTCACGTAATAATATCAGTCGATGAATTAGAGTCGGAAAGGTTGGTCTCTTTTTATGTTTATTTGCAGAATTGTTTTCTCAAAATCTAAAGTCCTCGAGTGAGTGAGTGAGTTGAGTTTAATGTACGGTTCCGAACAGTCATCTCTGCTCTTGAAATATTGATGAGAGCAACAATACACACTAAGTAGAAAAGACAGGGGAAACATGCAGTGGTCAATATTGATGATGACAACCCCCCCAAGGAATTTTGAAAGGAGGGGGTTCCGTCAACGCAAAAAGACAAATTTTCAATGTGATCTTAAGTCATTTTAAGCGTGGGTGGGGATTGGGGGTCCCGATCCCCGATCCGCCACTGGACAGACAGGTTTATTTAAGTCTCACTCTCAGTACATATAAGAAAATCTATATATAACTTCATATACATATACAATATACATAAAATATGCTACGACCAGTCGCTCAGCGACATATGAAAGACATCTATCGATATCCCTGCTGTAGATTATCCCTGGTCAAGTGAATGCATTTTTTGCCCGTTTATATCTTTCTTATATACTTTTAGAGAGAGAGAGAGAGAGAGAGAGAGAGAGAGAGAGAGAGAGAGAGAGAGAGAGAGAGAGAGAGAGAGAGAGAGAGAGAGAGAGTGAGATGCATTTTTGCCCGTTTATAGAGAGAGAGAGAGAGAGAGAGAGAGAGAGAGAGAGAGAGAGAGAGAGAGAGAGAGAGAGTGTTGGGGAGGGGGGCGTTTTTGCAAAGCATGCGTAATGCATTAAAATATGTTTTGAGTGGCTTTACGATTTGTGTAGCTGGCTAGCTTGCTGGAAGAATTCTTTCGCTCGAGCTTATAACTGTTTAAGCAGGGTTATAGAAGAAACCATAAAATCACCACTTCATAGAAGGAGTTGAGGCGTCCTCGGTTAGTTGTCGGACTTGACTGGGCTTCTGTCTGCTGTAAGAGTATAGAACAAAACAAGCTTGTTGCGCAAAGAGTGGAACCGGTTTTTCATCAGGCCGCTCTCTTTTCAGTCTTCCCGTATCATTGGAAGAAATCCTATGGTTAAACCAATCCATCAAACTCTACTAAAACCAATCATCATTGTGAGCTCAAATGTGATTGGCTGTATTGTAATACGTCAGCCAATAACCGGTAGCAACACAACGCTTATTCGTTTCATCAAGATCAAGATGGTGCTCGGACAGGCTGTACGTTCGTTTGCGAGGAAGTTTTCTACCAGTACTGTGGCTAGAAGCCAACACTGGCAACAAGAAGGCGTCCCCGGAGCGGTAATTCATTTAATTACAACCCAGTAAAATATACGGGGAATTTGCATACGAATAACTCTGTTTTTGTGTGTTTATGTAAGCGATATGTTTAATCCTTGAAGGTCACGGCATGTGCCGGCTTAGGCCAAGTTCGGATGTGTCGTCTTTGTTTGAAGTTCATTAGACCTGTGTTATTAATATTACGATTTATGACTGTAGTAATAAACTAGTATTTCTCTGAAATTCCGCAAACAATAACTATCCATAGGAACGAACAATGTGTTTATGCGGTTGATAGTGTAATGGTTGTCACACTTGGTGTAGTTACTAATTCTAATACTATCGCGCTGTGGTTCTTGTTAAGTCTGTGTTCAAGAATGGGATTTGCGATCACCTTTACGTTCAAAATAATGAAAGCTCGATGCGGTAAGAGTTCCTCCCGTTCCCCCATCCCAAATAATATGTATAAATATTCTAGAATTACAAACAAAACTTAACACAACAATTACTAGAGAACTCACAAAATGATTAAAAGTCCAAATTTTAGTAAGGGCTAGGTTTAGGGTTTGGTTTAGAGTTGGGGGAACAGAAGGAACTCTTTCCCTAGATGCCAGAAATGTACAACTGTCACAACGCATCACTCGGTGGAACATGTTCCTGGTCCTATGTTAGTGTGTAATCCTGGAATAGCCCAGATAACTAAATCATGATTTCACTGTTTCAGAATTTGCCTTTTGGCATCAACAACCGCTACAAGCTGACAGCCTACTTCATCCTGTTCTTCAGTAGCGGGTTTTCGATGCCGTTCGTCCTCGTCCGACACCAGATACTCAAGAAGTAGATGTAGTATCTAGGCTGTATTTATAGGTGAGCAGGTCAAGACATTCCCTTTTGGGGTAAGAGTTCCTACCGTTCCCCCCATCTCAAATAATATTTATAAATATACTAGAATTATTAACAAAACTTAACACAACAGTTACTAGAGAACTCACAAAATGACTAAAAGTCCAAAATTTAGGGTTAGGTTTAGGGTTGGGGGAACGGAAGGAACTCTTTCCCCTTTTGGCAATATTCCAGCAAGTACTCGCGTCCGACAATCCAGTCATCAACCGCATGATCATTGACCTATGCAATTGGGATACAATCACATGCATCAATAAAATCAGAGAGTCTGATCCTATTAGTCACCTCTTATGACTGTCATGGGTGGCTGAAGGCAAATTCTAACCCGGATCTTTACGGGTATCAAGCCATAAGCAAGCCATTAGCATGAGTGAATGAGTGAGCTTAGTTTTACGCCGCACTTGGCAATATTCCAGCAAGCCATTAGCATGGTATAAAGTGTCGTAGAATAAGTATCAAAATCAATGAGCCTTTGCTGTGATAACTACCTGTCACAAATAGTTCAAGTAAACAGACAGTTTGGCTTCGTTGATGGCATGGTATTGTACCCTGTAAGGCCCTTTTGTTGGGTCTACAGTCGAGACAAACCTTGAATAACACAACTCTCTCACTCATTGTATCAAGTTAATGGGTTTCAGAGACAAGGTGGTATTATTGTTTTATCAAGACAATGTTTTTATTTGAGAGATACTAGCTTAGTTATTTTTATTCACATCACTTTCACTTCCTGGCATTCAGTGAACAATTAGTATCATTAGCTTGTCTTCTGTTTCAGCAACTGTGTGGAAGGAGTAGACGAAGTGGTCGTGAACAACCTCACAACTCCATCTGAAGGAGTTGCATCTTAGATATTATGGAATCTCATTTTTTTTCTTCTGTGGCTTCGCACAAATTGCCCTCAGGACATTGAGACCATCGAGATTCAAATTTCTGAATTTTTGTTTTGTTTCCTTTCAAAACATTTATCCTTGGAAGATGTATTAAAAGTTATATGAATGGAAGTTGCGTTTTGTCATTTTTAACTACAGGCTGTGTTTGTGGTGGTCCGATTAATTGAAATAATAGTCATCCTTAAAAGGTGTGAAATTTGCAAATGCAAAAAAAACTGACAGAACTACATGTTTTTTCTTTAATTTTTGTGCAGTAACAACCATAACAAGGAAAATATAAATGACGCCCCCGCCGTGATATTGCTGGGAAATTGCCAAAAGCGGCGTAAAACCAAACTCACTCACTCATAAATGATGCTGACCAATTATTTTTGATGACTGATCGGTTGTAATGAACCAGTCATCAATTATGAGATTTTAACCAATTTCCAACTCTAGGCTGTATTATTATTCTTGTTTTTGAACAAGTATGGAAGTTAATATTGTTCATCAGTTGTGCTATTGTTACATTTGTGTGTCTTGACCCTTAAGTATACCAATGGTAAGAGCATGTGCCTGAAGAGCCGAAGTTTGTTGCAGGGTCAAGTCTATTGTATAACTAAGTGAACATATGACTTGCCTTTGCATGAATTTATGACAGGTGCCATTGCTGAGACCTTGAATAGGGACTATTTGACAGTGATTCATAAATACATGCTCAGGATGTTGGGGCAATCATACATTGGAGTGAAGCAGACAGAAATGAGTATTGGGTGGACGTACAGCAACCGAAAACTGCATTGCTTCTGTAAATCGCTTGTTCTGTTTCCTTTGTGTGGATTTCAACAATGCAGAGGGATTTGTTCATAAATATACCCATGTGTCCTCCAGACTCAAATATACAACAACTGAACCCATAAACAAACCTGGTTATTCCTAATTCAAGGAATGGTTTCTTGTAACCATGGAAACACAGTTCCAATGTTGCAAATGTAATTACTGTTCTATTGGTGGGAGTTAACTGGAGTAATAGCGAGTCCCAAGGGGAACAGGTGCTCCGTAACCCATGCTGGTTGCATCAGTTGATAAAGATGGGGTGGGTATTACGTTGTGTTTAAGATTATTGTAGTAACACTAACAGGTTTATGTGTTTTCTTGTTCTTGTCTTGGCAAAACCCATGAAGATCCGGGTTAGAATCAATCTTCAGTAATCTGTGCTTGTCGTGAGAGGTGACTATCAGGATCAGGTGTTCAGGCTCGCTGACTAAGATGACACGTCATTGTATCCCAATTGCGTAGATCGATGCTCTTGCTGTTGATTACTGGATTGTCTGGTCCAGACTTGATTATTTACAGACTGCCACCATATAGCTGGAATATTGCTGAGTGCAGCGTAAAACTGAAGTCACTCACTCATGATGTCTGGACAAATGCCAGTTTTTCAATACAAGCACACCGAGATACCATGCTGCAGTTTAACATGAATATCTTGCACAGATGAATGTAGTCTGTTTGCAGTGAAAACATACCAATGAATTTCACTTTAAACAAAAAAGTAAATCAAATAAAGTGAAATTAAGATTTCGTATCCTCATAA